GTTCGTGTCACACTCCTATAGCCTCTGTTTAAGAGGACTGCAAGTCATCTGTAACTTGTTTCAGTCCAGTTTGTCTCGTATTTCCAGGATGTGCACAATAGTTGCACAGACATCCTTGTATACCACTGCATACCTACAAACCCATGATTTGCCATTTGTTGGCTTAGCAGTGGACTTGCAGTGCCTTTTGAAGCTCAGCTTTGCTGTAACTGTATATGTTGAATGTAGCTACAACCACAGGAATGTTTCTGGTCTTGATTGGTGTTATGTAGCAGTATCCAGTGGAAAAATATCTGGCATAAATGTTTAAAAAATCCTCAAGTCCACAAATATTGAGCTTGTTGTGGGAATATGTCAGAAGTTCTCCTGACATACTGGGGACAGAAAAGCAAAATACCTTCCCACAGTAAAACAAATAACAGTTTTGTTGTCGCTGCTGTCCGAATTGGTTTCATTAGATTGTCTTGTTCTCGTTTCCTCCATGCCTGTGTTATGACAGGACATGAAACTGAGTCTCCAGTCAAGTTCTCATTCATTCAGTAGTGACACATGGATTTGAGCGTTTATGGCTGTGATCTTTTCTAATATCCACATGAGCTTGTTACCTACCAAGAGTCTTGTAATTGAAGTTGGATTCTAAATAGAAGCTGATTCCATGAAATATGTGGTGATTGAAGTGCTGCTAATGTTGGGATATTTCTCACTGTGATATACACATGGTGGTGTAGTCGGTTACTTTTTCCTTTTGAAATATATTAAATAAGACAGACCCAAGAGAGCACAATCAGGAGTAAGAGCCTGCTAACCTGAGAAGTCTGAATAAATATACATATTTATTTATATTTTATGTGAGTTTCATCTTATATGCTGGTAAATTTTCCCTCTTGGCTTCTTTCTCCACAACTCTCCTAACTTAGTTCTCTTCCTCACTCCCACGCTCCCACACCATATTGTCTCAGTAGGTTTGGTGATCTTTGACAAGGTCTCTGTGTTGACTAATACTGAACAAAGTGGCCAGGGAGTGCCCTGTGATGTGTCAGGCTTCTCTTAATGAGATTATAAAAGGTTGCTGTTATAGGTAGAGGGTGTAGTAATGAGCTTTTATGATCATATATCTTGTTTCATATCGTATTGTTTTAATAATGTTGTTGGATTCACCTCATTTATCATCATAATTTTTTGATCATTGCTGTGCTTAAACTTGGATATAATCCTCTATTTTTCTGGCCCACCTTCTGTTTCTTAATCTTTGTTTTATTGCCAGACAGCTCTTTTTGTTACTGTTGTATGCTGCAGATAATCCACTTTTTAAGGGGCCAGAGAAGTCTAGTATATTACACTTACCGAAACTTACTGGCTTTTCTGCTTTTTTTGAATAGCATATTTGTAGACTAAGACCAACAAATACATTTTACAGCAGATGAATGAGTAAATCCCACTATAGTTGATCTCCAGGGCCTGCTTTAAGGAGCCAGTAGTTGCTTGTAACTTTGGTGTGAGCTGGTTTTCTCAGAGGACACAATTAATTAGTGACAGGAGAACTTTTTTTTAACCACCTCTTTTAACTTTCACCTCTCTAATGGTTACATTCATCATCAACAAACAGGCTGGCAATTACCCTTCTGTTTGACCGTGTTGATTACAATTAGCCTCTTTGAGTTTTATAAATTATTGCCCAGTGTGAAGAATACTAAATCATGCCATTAGCAGAAGTAGCTCTTGGTGTAAAGGTGTAATCAAAGTGGGTAGATCAAAGATGATTTAAATCACTTTTTCTCCTACTGAGGCTGTGCTTTTTTCCATCTCAAGCTTTGACTCAGGATCATTTAATGTTATTCAGCATTGCTTAAAGAACTTGCAAGCTTTCCTGACTCTATTTTCTTGTATTGTCCCCTTGGACCCAAGGTAGATGGCTGTGCAAATTGAGTCTGACTGAAACAGGACGTTCTCAATCTGTTCATGCCGTCTGTTTCTGATTTGCAATATTGAGCTACACTGATTGCTGTAATGGTGCACTACATCACTGAGGTTTTTCACTCTAGGGAGACTGGGGATGTGCCACATCTGAACACTGCCCTGATAGCTAGGCTGTTTGTTTCTAGGAAAAAACAAAGAATCATACTGGCATTGTACTGATTTAAAAAACATCTTTCAATTATATTGTGATTTAAAACCTGTAGTCAAAGGTGGAAAACATTTTCCATCAATAGCCATTTTCATCCTCTCTGCAATTCAGTCCCCTATACTAACATAAGAAAGGGATTGCTGTATATCATTGTTACAGCTCCTCTCAGTGACTGGAATAACATCAAATGAGCCACGAGTGGCTGTGAGGACTGATGTGGTGATGGGCTGAAGGAGTATTCCAGCTCCACACCTGCTTTCTGTTAGACTGATATGTAATGTTGAAGAAGAAAAAGACAGAGTTGGATGCTGTTAGAAAAATTACCCCCGAGGATTTTTGTAGATCTGTCAGTGTTTCGCCGTCATGGTAACATGAAGAAATCCTCTTTAGCCTCCCCCCTTTTTTTTTCTTCATCATGGGCAAACTCAGACACCCTTTGCTCAGTCTGACAAATACACGAGATGCACAAGTATATAAAACCTCAACATTTTCTCTCTAAGCTGGAGACTGAACATTAGTTTAGACAGAAAGAGTAACAAAGTTGGGAACCAACATTTTATTTATTTATTTTATTGCCATGTTTCACTCACAAATCATAATCTCTTCCTACCTGTCTGCGGAAGTTCCTGCACGTGATTCAAACAAGAGATGTGTTTTTCCAGCTCCCTTGGGGATGGGAAGTGGCAGTGAGGTTTGAAAAATGGGGAAATAAAACTGAGGTCTTCACAACAAAATGAAACGATAGTAATCTTTTTGGGGATTTCCTGGGGTCTGGGCTGGAGCTTTGGTAACTTATCCAAATTTTTCCTTCTATAAATAATAATTCTTTCTTTACTGTTGTAAAATTTTTCCTTTCTTTGTTTTCACATGCATGTTAATTGCAAGCACTTTTTCAAACAGCATTTTCTTCTTTTTCCCTTTTATTTATTTAGTTTATTGATACTAGAGAGTCTTATAATTGCAAGACAGTACAATTTAAAGAAAATATTCAGAAACAAATTTTTGGAAGCAGACTAAATGTTTTTACTTTCTGTGCTGACATTAACTTTCTGTTTGTATTTCAGTTATGCTGCAGCCTTTTGACTATGACCCCAATGAGAAGAGCAAACACAAGTTCATGGTTCAGTCAATGCTAGCACCTCCTGACATGACTGACATGGAGGGAGTGGTGAGTGTGTCTCATTGTTCATAGCTTTTAGCATGTGCTTATTTGTATGTGCATGCTTTAAAACAGAAATACTTTGTACATAGATGCATCACAGTTATGCATATATAGGCATGTGATAGGATTAACCTCTTCCAAATATACCTGTTGAAATAAATGAGTCCTAAATTCAACATATGACACATTACGCCATATCATTATTTAACTAAAACTAAAACAAAATGCAGAAGCAGTGTGTGAAAAACTAAGTACACAGTTGCTACTTTCATATGAATTTAGAGGGTAAGTAGCAGCCAGCTGTTTGCTAGTCAAATGCACTTGATTAACTGACGGTTATCGAGTGTGACCACATCTATAAAAGCAGGAGTTTTGGCAGTTTGCTGGTCAGCACAATGCTAGGGAGGAACAACCTGCACAAAATGTCATTTGGTGATAACCAAAGCATATCAGCACAAACACGTCATATCAACCATCACCCAAGGTGGGGCAAGGGTTATAATTTGGACTTGTATTGTAACCACAGGACCTGTGTACTTTGCGGTCATTGAGTTAACTATGAACCAAAGTATTCCAGAGTCAAATGTGCGTCCGACAGCTCGGACAATGATCCCAAGCACAGCAGTAAATCCATGAAATAATGGCTGGATCATTGCAAAACCTTGATTCTTTTCTTTTTCAGCCAAAGTCCAGATCTCAGACTGAGTGAAATGTTGTGGCAGGACCTTAAATGCCTGCAAACCTCAATGAACTGAAGCAATGTTGGAATAAAAAATGGACCAACATTCCTCTACAACTATCTGAGTGACTGATGGTGTCAATGAATGCTGAAGGTTATTGCTGCCAAAGGTGGATCAACATCATGGGGTGTAATTAGTTTTTCACACACTGGTTCTACATTTTAGCTTGGTTTGTGTTAGTGACACAGTGTAATGTGACGCTTGTGCCTGTGTTGAGTTTGTATTCAAATAATTCTATTATTCTAATTCTACATTTTAGTTTTTTATTATGTCCTAAAACCTTAGAAGGTGTACTTTTTTCACATGACTGTGCATGCATTAAATTTTACTGTGAAGGAAGAGGTTGTTAATCTACGCCTTTCCCACACTTAATGCAAGCCTGGGCTGCAGTGCTGGCACGCAGCAACAAAACACATTTAGCACAGTTTAGTCATAACATCATGTGTGGTCTGAGAGACATCTTTGTGATGACTGGCCCACATTTAAACACCTACATACTTGTGTAGCTATCTCATTAATATGACAATAGGCATCTTGCGAATTTGTTTTAATGTAGTGACACACATGAAAATGCATAGAATCAACAAGAGGGACGGTTACAATAGACATGCTGTATTAAATCAGAGCTTGAACTCTGGTGGGGTTTTGTGGGTTTTTGTGCAAGGTTGTGACTGTAACACAAGTTAGATGTGAAAGCAGATTTTTAAGGTGGGGGTCTTAAGAAGAGCACATGTCCTGTTGGTGACATGCTTCTGTCAGTTGTTTGTTTGAAACAATATGTGGAGTCAGTGAACAATGGACAGACTACTCTCATAATGGTCCAGTTGTTGGTGAAAATATGTAAGATGACCCTAAGCATACTTGATATTTAAAACCAGGCTGAGTCAGTATTGGATAAAGCAGTACTCAGAGATGCTTTCCCATACCTGGAAATTCCACACACTTTATCTAATCCCAAGAGAAGTGTAACTCCATTTGGTATGATATTTAAACTTGGGGAACCTGGGATTATATGCTTGCTTGGAAATCTTTCGAAGTTTTACCCGTCTGAGAATCGTTAAAACACTAACATATTCTAAAAGATAACTCAAACAATGCGAAGACTTGGAAAACAAAACATACATATGTGGTTATTGCCTAAAATGGACCATCAAGTTTCTCAAATTCTACCAAAACCTAGTTTAGCAAGGGCACATTGGCAAAGCTGCAAAGTGTGTTACTGTAACACACATGACAGCACTCTCTTCTGTCTAAATTAAATTATTATTCAATTTACTCTGAATAGTAATTGCATAATTATTCAGGCTAAATTCCTGGTTTTAATAAAACATGGAAAGAAAGCTGTGCCGACAGAATACATAAAATGATTAAAGAGAAATTACTTCATCTGAGTGCTCTTAAAGATTGAAGAGCCAATTAATAAAGACAGTGCTATATTCCAAGGACACATGCAGTTTATGACCCTTATCTTTGAAAACCCAAATTAATTCACAAGGACATTTTGTGTTAATGTCCACTTATTTGTGTATTTCTTTCTTTTTTTTCATCTTTTTTGCAACTCTGTCTTGAACCAAAGAGAGATTTAAACAAATTATTAATAAAGAATCAAGAATTATTTATTTGGCTGTTTAGCTACAATAAAAATGTCTTTATGGAGATACAGAATTTTATTTAATTTTTTTCCAAAAAGAGTGGAAATACTGTATGGCAATCTCACCTATTAAAACACACACACAAAGCCTATACATCTTGTTTTCTTTTCATCTAGCAGCTAGCTGACTTTATTTTACTCTGTTGCTCTTTTTCTGTTTTTATTCACACCATTTTTAAAAAAATATACTTGTTTATTAGTGAGGGACATCAATGCATGTTGTCCATATCTTTTTCTTTCTACCTTTCTAGTGGAAGGAGGCTAAACCAGAGGAGCTGATGGACTCCAAGCTGAGGTGTGTTTTTGAGATGCCGACGGAGAACGAAAAAACGGTATGCACACAGACCTATCCCCTTTTCTTACCATGCATGTGCGTTTGTCTCCTGCAGATGTGATATCAGAAACAGTTATGTTTTTATCATGTTTTTCATTATTCTCTAAGTGACTGTAATTAGCCCAAGCAAGAGTCCACTGTTTAATTTCAGTTGCGAGTATGTCAATCACTATCTGAAGTCGCTAGCCAGCTTTTTTTCCTACAGTGCAGCCTCTTTGTTTTTGTTTGTTATTTTTGTTTTGGGTTTTTTTGTTAATGTGTCCCAATGGGAAGCGGCATTATATATTAGGTGGTGTTTATTGTTGTTTTCCAGTTCCCCATCTTGCTATTGCTCTGCTGTATTTGCCTTCTTTATCCTGTATCTATCAGTCTTCATCTCTTTTCTTCTTTTTGCTCTCTTTTACCACCCCGGGTTTGTTCTTTTTATCGAGCCGCTTATGTTTGAACATTTTTGTAGCATTTCCCTCCTCATCATCTTCTCCATCTTGTCCCACTTTCCTCTACATCTCTCTTCCTGCCTCAGCTGCACTCATAGCCCTCAACAGCCCTTCAGAGACTCTCACATGTGGTTTATTGTTGTTGTGATTCCTCTCAGACCTCATATTCCGCTCAGCTGCAGAGACATTATTTCGTCATAATATGAGCTGAGAGAATTCGCTCAATGAACACCAGGAGAGAAAAGGGACCTGTGGTAGTTGTTTTCAATTCATTATGAGCTGAGAAATACATACACATGTCTCCCAGTTGGCTCTGTACACCGCAGAGTCCGTTATGTAGAGATAATGCTGATAGAAACCAGCTTGATCCATTTACAAAAGGCACCCCTGTGTGAACTCTCAGACAGGAGAGGGGGTTTTGTGTGCATGCCTGTGTGTGTGTGTGTGTGTGCGTGTGTGTGTGTATATAGAGCAAGTCGCAAAATGTAAACACAAAGTTGTACCTGTGTGCCAGCAAAGACATCATACAGAATCACCATGGAGATATTTTAGTATCAACAGTCAACTTACTGCATTACAACTTTTCTCTCTGTAACCCACTTACAGCATGATATGGAGTCCAACAAGATGATGTCGTCCAGCTCGCTGAAGTCTGAGTCCTCGCTGCCTGTGAAGTCAATGAGCTCCACCCTTGATGACGGGGAAGTAAAGAAGATCATGGAGGAGTGCAAGAGGCTGCAGATGGAGGCTCAGAGGCTACGGGAAGAAAACAAACAGATCAAAGTGAGTAAAATGACTCAAGACTGTAGACTTCAAAGACACAGGTCTTTATACAGATATTAGGGGCTGCAAAGGCTTTACTGAAGGGAATCAGTTGGTAGTAAGTCCAGTTTGTCATTTCAAGCTCAACACTTTCCAGCGTGTTAGAGTGTTACAGTACAAAATGTTACATGTCTTTATATTTTGCTGCCAAAGAGCCAAACAATATTTATTATAGTGGTCTTGAGCGAGTTCTCCAGGCTTTCTGGTATTTCAAAGTTTTTGTTTGGACATTGGCTGCCTTTTCCAGTCCTTGTACCTCACCATTTTGATCCCAAACACACTGCACAAGTTTCAGTATTTCCAATTTTCCTAGCAAAATATGATTGGTGAATAATGGAGAGTGGCTCAAGACTTTTGCACGGCTCACAAAAATATAATTTTAGCCGTGGTTCAAGTGGGACATCCATTAATCACACGGTTGGTTTAAACTCCCTGCTCCATATGTGCCATGTGCCCCCTAGATTTATGGACTGAATAATTTCCCACGGAGTTAACATATGTAAACGTGTAACTACAAATAGTTTCTTTAAAAATAATTTCCTAAGTCTTGTAAAACGAAGAGGGACAAACAGGTCCAGCTTCACATAAAGACTCTTGGGCATTGTCAACTTACAAAATATAATTATTTGTAGGTTTGGTATTAGAGCTTAATCGGGCCAATGAAAATATTTTGCTTTGAGGCTTGACTCAAAAGCAGAAAGTGATATTCTGCTGATTAAACAAAGAAAACCATCTCAGTCATCAAAATTAGCAGATGACATCACTGAACATCTTGAATCACCTCTGTGTTGATTATTTTTTTGTACTGATTGATAGCTGATTGATGTTTACAATCAAGATAAGCTAATTAAGTAGAAGTGTTTAGTCACACAGAGCAGTGTCCTCCACCCAGGCCAGTAACTCACAATTAAGGTTTGCATGGAGTACAGCTGCTGATATCTTTAATCGGTAGCAGACCTCAGGGTTTAAAGCTTGTAAGCTCGCAGTTTTGCAAATCAATGAGTATGCCATCAGTCACTAGCATCATTGGTTTCAAATTAGTTTTTGTAAAGGTTCGGTTCGAAATCACACACACACACATGCACACACGCCTACGCTACAGACGTCCAAGAGTGAGTTGTCCTCCCTTCAAACACCACCGCCTCCGCCCCTTTAAGTTCTTGCCAGAGGCAGAACGACTGTTGGCTGCTCCTGCGGCTGAGATTAAACTAACAGAGAGCCCCCCCACCCGCTGCTGGGAAATGAAGTGTGTTAAACCCTGGCGCCTTGTGCGTTCCTTTGGAGGTTTGGGTCAGATGAGCATTTAAGCAGATCCGATTTCTCTGAGCTAATAAATAAATACTCTTATCTTATTAACTGATTGACAAACCGACCATTTCTTAACCCTTTGTTGTCCTTTCTTATTTCTCGTTTCCACATTCCTTTTTCTTTATTTCACTCACTCATCCCTGCTTCCCTGTCATTCCCTTCCCACACACATCCTTTCATCATTTCATATTTATTCCTTTCACTCCCCTTACTCTCCCCCTTTCCCGTGTCCCCAATTCAGGAGGATGATGGTCTGCGGATGAGGAAGAGTAACATCATGTCACCTCAGCACCCCTCAGTCGCGATGAAGAAAGAGGAAGGGATGAGCGCCCGTACGGTGGCCCTCATTGTGCTCTTCTTTGTGATGGGCGTCATTGTGGGGAAGTTGGTCTTGTAGAGCACAGCGCAGTTCGGTCGGCCGCAGCATGGGGATGAAAACAAACACTGGATTTGGAATTTTGGATTATAAAACGCCATACGTGCTGGGTAGGGGGTGGTACTAGTTTTGATTCAGTCTCATTTATGTAAAATAATTCAAAAGGTAATGTATGAGGAAAAAAAATGAAGAAAAAAACAACTTGTCATGTTATGAACAAACCTACTGTTACAGGTCTTGCCTCTACGTAATCATCACATAGTCATTCTGGCTCTCTTCCCAAAGTTTCAAATAATAGAGTTGACTGGTTCTGTGGGTGGGAGAATGATGGAAACATGAATTAACACTTGTGATTCAGACCAGTGGATTTTCTAGCACTGGCGAAGTAGTGTTGGTGCGATTGAGTCAGTTTGCAGTCGTGCAAATGTCATTCTAGTGTATCGATGTTTCTTTTTCTAAGCGACGGAGGCCAGAGCCAATGTATATGAATACAAAATCACCCCACTGTACAGTATATCCAGGTGTTCCTTCCAGCGAAACCCCCTTTAAGGAAGGGATTTACCAGAGAGATGATCCACACAGTTCGGGGTTTTACACACACACACAGGGCTATCTCCTCCAATCAGAGGCTTTGTAAAATCAGCTCGTCTTTGATTGTATGACAACTTTGAGCAGTGTATGAAACACTATGCCGTAGGTGTTTTCTTTCCTCATGACCTTTTTTTCTTTTCACTCTACCATATTTCCCTCACTTGTCACTCACTGCTCACTGCATCCTCCGACTGTCAGAGGGGGATGTGTTTGATTGCATGCGTTCACACGGAGTGTTGCATCTGGACTTTTGAATCTAAATTAGCTGCTTTTTATAATGGTGATAATATAATGTCATTTGGCTGTAGGTTTGCACAACTACATTTCTGATTTTTTTTCTTTTGTGTTTTGTTGCATTTTTATGATTTTATTTTGAGTAATTTTGTTTTGTCGTTAGGTTTGATGCATTTAAGAATATTGCAGCTACCTGAAATGAGGATTAGATCAGTCGTGTAAATCCAGATGAAAGTCTTGCCTTGTGACCTGTTGGGGTGCAAGTTATTCTCAGGCCAAGTTGGAGGTGTATTATGTACAGACGCACATACACAAAACACAAAGCATGCGTGCACATAATGAGAAACCACAAAACTAAAAGACGGTGCATGAAGGAGGAGTGGTTTTATGTCACTGACAACAGCAAACCACGTCAAGGTCCTCTTGCAATGTCCAAACACATTAAGCTTTGTCCTTTCCAGCTCTTTTCATTCTCTCATATTGTCCTTTAACCATACATTTGTTTATTTGGGGCAAATGTATGTCAGAGATCAGCCGAGTGTTTTAAGCTGCCTAAACCCGCTTCCCCAGTTGATGAGTTTCTTTGCTTACTCACGCTCTGCAGGCCTCTGTTCAGTTTTTTTGGGGTGTTTGTTGAGCATTTTTCTGTCACTTAAAATGTTAAATCCTCACTGCATTTGAAGTTGTGTTCATTTTAATGCACTAAAGGTTCCGAGTGTTTCTCCTTTGAACTTCCTGCCTCACACGATGTTTTCTTTGTTTGTTTTTCCATGAAGCGAAAGGTGGGAAAGTATACAGTCAGCTATAGCCTTGAGGGGACCACGTGATGACAATGTACTGTTTCCACAACCTTCAGAAATAATAATAATAATAAAAAAGAAACATAAAGCATTCTCAAATTGTTTCAGCTCCAAATTTGCATATTAACACGGGAGAGCGTTTGTTATTCTGCTCTGCATTAAAAAAAACAGCTGGTCATATTTTGTATCCCACTTTCAGTAAACTGTTGAACAGACGCAGGAGTCCACTCCCCTTTGCTGAAAGATATCTACGGTTAATTTAGCTGGCGGGTAAGCGATTAAAACAAACACGTGTATGTTTCGACTGTATCTCTATGAAGTCGGTGGGTTTAGGATGACTTGCTGCTTAAAGGGAGGGCAAAGCGAACCTAAAACTAGTCTCATCTTGGATTATCAGACCTGGGTCATACAGTGCTTGCAGAAAATTGTTCTTGTTTAGTGAATCCTGACTGGAGTATCAGAACCTTTTTACACAAGAAAAATACCCTAAAACATCAGAATAATCCATTTATGTGACTGAAAATGTAACTTTACCACTGCCCCTGGTGCAGTAAACTCCATCAATTTGCTACTTCAAGGCGGATTATACAAACAAAAATGATTATGTGTGAACACTAATCAATCCAGGCCTGGTCGTAAAACACATGACACTGATCTGTCCTGGAGCCTGACCATCACCGTGATCAATGTAAGCAGTTAAGAAACTGTTTTGTATGTATATAAATAAATAAGTCTATCTGAGAAAAAGATTGATATTCCTAGTCAAGTAGTCTCTCTGGTGTATAAAAATAACCCAACCTGGTTGGACTATGTAGCATCTTAATAAATTAAATGAATAAAGCCCCTAAATCACTGTGTGGCGTTATTTCCTGTTACGTATGAAAGGCTACAGTGTGACCATCATTATACACATGTAGCATTTTAAAAATATTCTTTTAAAGTGTCTTTAAAATCAGGGATGGGATTGTGGTAACATTTTAGGGTGGGAAAATATGTTTGAAATTAAGATATTTGGTCTGGAGATGACAAATTAATCTACTGCTCCTCACAAAACTGGGAAGACTCGACTACTAACAGACAATGCTTAAAAAACCCATTTTGATAGAGACTTTTTTTCTTCTTCTTTTGTAATTCTCTGACATTCTCAAATCTCATCACAACCTAGTTGTTAAACATTACCCACAGTGCAACTTAAATGGTAAATAGACTGATGGTCGTAGAGCAGTTTGCTCTAAATAAGCACTCAATGCACTTTTTACTACAAGACCGATTCACCCAGTCTCTCACAGACAGCAATTTAATCCAGCGGTGGGCTATAAATTTCCCCAAAGGGCCATGTGAAAAACTGCTTATAAAGGGGTAAAATTAATATTGAGCAGAACTGAGCTCAGCTTATTATTATAGCCCTCCATAACAGTCCCAGTTTCTCGTGGCCCCTTGTAAAAATTAATTGCTCACCCCTGTTCTATAACTAAGCACCTTGAATCGGGAGCAAAATATCAGGTTCAGTATCGAGGACACTTCCCCATGCAAACTAGAGGAGCTGGGGATCCATCAGCACTATAGGCAGAGATTACTTACAAGCTAAAGTAGCCTTAGGGAAGGATAAGAATGAGCCTGTCTAGGTCTTGTAATCTAATTTCCCCTTAATTATTAAAGCATTTATATGATTTTAAAAGGCTCTGTTATTCCATGTTATCTTAACCAGCACTGATTAATACTATTTGAGGGGAAAACAAGGTGATGAAGAATGAAAAAGGATTTTAAATGGTAGAATTATGACAAGCACTTCCCAGTGAGATTTACTGAGAAAGGTTTTGGTACTTACTGACTCTCTTATCTTCAGAGTCCCGATCTTTCTTTAACCTCAGAGAGACCTGCACATAATAGAACTATAGTAATGTTAAGAGCCTGGCTTTTTTCCCCAACACTAGCTGCACAGGATGCATGTCCAGAGTCCTTAAAGACAACGCTGACCGTGTCCTGTCCAGCTAGCCTTCGATAGCATCTTTGTTGGGATTGGAAAACAGGCTGAAAATCGATCACTGTGCAGCAGACAGGTTTTTAACCCAGAATCTTTGAGGATTCAGGAAACACTTTTAACATGAGCTTCCTGGGTTTTTCAAACATTGCAGGATATTTATATTACAGAGAAACAGATCTTTATCACTGTGACTTAAGTGGACTAATGCAGATGCATTAGAGGGACTTATAGCTTATATTCAGTAATGCTTTAACTCATAGCTAAACACTTGTCTTAAATGGGTCGCATTGTATATGAAAGTAAATTCAGAAGAGTTTATTCATTTGTTGTAATAACTGGACTGATGTGAGGACAGCTCATCAATAAAAGATGGCTGTACGTGTGCTGTATGACTGCTGCTCTCAACAAAACCAGACCTGCTGCCACTGACAGCCGAGGCTCCGCTGGCTTTTTAGTTGCTTTTGCTTTGCTTGATTTGGCAGCACCACAATTTGCAGTGGGATAAGAGTGTTAACATATATAGCTGCAGGGAAATTAATTACCCCTCGGATTTCTGTTGCTGCTGCTGTGTTGTGGAGTAAAATAAAATCCAGGGTGATTCATCCCGTGTTATTGTATCGGTAACAACTTGACAGTTTTTCTGTCTGCACGTCGTGAATGGATGCAGCGGAGCCGGGTTTGTGTCAGGAAACCCCATGTGTTCACCTGAGCCCATTAGCTCCTCGGCTGTTTGGTTTGGCCACAGCAATGCGCAGCTTCAGGCTCAATAGTGGAAACCAACCAATATTAATTCACAATTTTTTCATTTAAGTTGGGTAATAATCTATTCCCAAGGTAAATCGTGTAGGGATGTTTTAAAAATGCTGAAAGGATTAAAATTACAAGGTCTGCTACTTACCTGAAGAAAAGGTCCGAGGCAACAACTGTAAGATACCAGTTACCCAACAAATATTCAAGTAATTCATTTGGCCAAGAAATGGAACGTGTAACACTTTCAGAACCACAGCTTTTCATCTGAACATGATGTTTTAAACTCACGAACATCCAGGAGGAGCTCATACTCATGGTGAGGCATCTGTTATTCTGTCTGTTCACATTCACAACTGGTCCTCGTCCAGTGGTCATGATAATAATGAGTAATGGTCAGAATTTAATGAAACATGCATACAGTGATCACCTAATGGGTTTTCACAAACATTTTACTCAAGGTCAAGGTCGCGTTTAGTATTTTCAATTTGAGTGGCATTACTCTGTCCACTTTGTGCAATACGGCCAGCCAGCAACAACAAACCTATCACTTTCTCTTTGTACTTCACACATCATAAAAACCCGTGAACTGTGATGGATCGTGACCCAGATGAGCTATGATGTCATTGACATTCTGGTTTCTCTGAATTAAACCAGATGTCATCTGTTATTTTGTAATCTTTGAAAGAAAGAAATGGATTCTGTTACCTTTGGACAAAGGTTTCAAAGCTTTCAGACTCACTTTCCAGTCTATTTAAAAAATTATTACCAATTAATGTGTCGCCTGATGACGTAGCCCCCATCACTCCATCATCATTTAATGCAGAGTGGTGTCAATCTTGGCATGTATTACTGAGTAAGTGGCTTCCCAAAATGTCAAATTATTGCATCAAGAGGGCAAAATTCATTTCAAATCCTGCTTCCAACTAGCGTTCAGCCTGATTAGCTTTAGCCCTTTTCCTCTGTGCTGCATGAGTAGCCTTCCTATAAGTGTGTATTTGTTTATTTCTGACCTCATTAAAACTCTGTATCCCTTTCCTATAATTGCACAGAAATGTTTGTTCACGACTCATATAAAAGGAAGTCCATTCTGAGGTCGAGGATTAGAAATAGACGAAGAGATAAAAACTCTATATTTAAAAACCTTTTAAAGGTCTGTGACCCTGAGCAGAAGTAATCCATCACTGTCTGTAATATGCTTCTAAAACAACTCATGCATACAGAGTCTTATTAATAAGGAATTCGGGTAAAGTTACATTAACACAGATCAAACCTAAATCATGCACACATCTGTATATCTCACCATTCAAATTAACAACAATCCAGTGACCTGAACAGTGTTCACAGAAGGGCTGTTAAGAAACACTTGATACATGTAAGAAAGTAAAGCATTAGTCCCTCTTCTTTGACTTTATATGAAACTGTCTGGATCTGTCCGTTCTTATAATCCATTTTAAACATTAAAAAACGCAACCCGTTGACCCTCATTCTGGACGTCGCGTGAAAGCCACAGGTTTGTTTTTTTTTAAAGCTCTGATTGATCTATAACCAGCCTGCCTTGCATCCCGCATCCGATCCCTACACATACCGTTGTTTCACTGAGTCTGTTCTTCATAGACCGCTATACAGAAAACTCAGTGTCTGCCTGCACTTTGAAGTTTGAAAAATACCTAAAATGTTTAATTATACATCACCTTGACACCTCTTTTTAAGGTCTTAACTATGAGCCATAATTTCATTACGCATCCATGAAAGTGCACAATAAAAACGGTCCATCTTTTACTTCATTGAAACATTTTTGGCTTGTTTAAATATGTCGTTAATTTATTTTCCTTCTCAAAGTTTTGTGAGTGAAATAAAATACTCCTCATGGCATAGCTGCTTGGCACATAAGTAAGCCAAATTTCATGCAAATTTTCTATTTACAAGAGGTCTCTGTAAGACCTCGGGGGGCCTGAATGGTTTGAAAAATAATTGGCAGAAAGGTTGGATCCAGGACAACTGGCAGTGAGTGATGCAGTCTGGAAGAACTGGCCTGTGGCAGATCCATCCAACACACACCCTTTCAATCATTTGTGTGATCTTAACCTTAGAACAGAAACATGACCCGATTTAACAAGCCACCAGGACTGACAGATAGTCCAGAGGGGAACGCTTCTGTCAAAATGAGTCCCAGAGGCAGCAAAT